GGTCCACCCAGCCGTCCTTGTCTGCCTCGGGCTTCGCCTTGCCGCGGGGTGACTCCAGCGCCCAGGGCGGTGCGGCATACCCACAGCTGAGACACGTGGAGCGCCAGTCCCAGTTCCAACTACCGCAGCTGCACATCCAATAGGTCCTGCTGCGCCTGCCACTGCTGCCGCCACGCTGGGACCTCGCCATGGCGCCCGCTGCGCTGCCCGCTGGGCTACGCCCCCACGCTGCGAGAGCAAGAAGCACAACAAGAATTTGCACTGGCCCAAAGCGCGGAGACCCTCGCGCTCAGAGCGCCGCGAACGACTTGCGGTCGTCGGGCTCTCCATGGCCTTGAGCCAAAATGGCTACGGACGCGCTCCTGTGTGTTCTGCCGAGCTCCTGTGTGTTCTGGCGTGCCCGTGTGCTCTGTGTGTTCTGCCGTGCTCCTTGTGATCCTGCGTGTTTTGCCGTGCCCCTATGTGTTCGGCCGTGCTCCTGCGTGTTCTGCCGTCAGTTCCGCCGTGCACCTGTGTGTTCTGCCGTGCTCCTGTGTGTACTGCCGTGCCCATGTGTTCTGCCGCGCTCCCGCTTGTTCTGCCTTGTGTTCTGCCGTGCTCATGTATGTTCTGTCATTCTCCTGCGTGTTCTGCCGCGCTCCTGCTTTTCTGCCGTGCTCTGCCGTGCTCCTCCTGCTCCTGTGTTCTGCCGGGCTCCTGTGTGTTATGCTGTGCTCCTGTGTGTTCTGCCGTGCTCTTGTGTGTTTCTGCCGTGTTCTGCCGCGCTGCTGTCTGTTCTGCCGTGCTCCTGTGTATTCTGCGTGTTCTGCCCCTCGTGCTCCTGTGTCATCTGCCGTGCTCCCGTGTGCTCTGCCGCGCTCCTGCTTGGTTCTGCCGTGCTCCTGGGTGTTTTGTGTGTTCTGCCGTGCTCCTGTGTCTTCGGCCGTGCTCCCGTGTGTTCTGCCGCGCTCCTGCTTGTTCTTCCGTGCTTCTGCGTGTTGGGCTGCCGTGCTCCTGCCCATGTTTAGAAGATGTTTCGGGCGAAAAGCGAAGTTTTCACATCCATGGTCTTAACTCAGTCTTTTCTTTTAAAGGATTTGTTCAGAATGTTGCAGGCGATCGCCCCATTTCCATACGTTTGTTAAGTGTGCGGTTTTCGTTTTCTGGTGGACGTCTCAGGCGAGATGCTTGTTTTTTTGTGAAGGACGGTGTTGCGAACAACTCTTGTTTAGAGGATGTATCGAGCGAACAGCGCATTTTGAGCAATCTCGATTGCGCTCTTGGAGTCATTCTGGAACTCGTTTGGGGCTCGTTCGGGGCCGTTTCAAGGCCATCAAAAATGAGGCCAGTGCGATATCGCACATTTGTTTTGAGGATGTATCTGGCTTGGGCCGTCTAAAAGGCTTTTCAAGATATGCTCTCAAGACGATGTTAGAACAGCAGTGTGATGTTTTTTTTGTTGAGGATGTCCCTAGCGAAATTGTCATGTTCGGCAGTCTTCAGGGCGTTCTTAGAGCCATATTGAGGTCCTTTTTCGGGCTCTCATTTCTTCATCTTGAAGCACTTCAAGAACGATGTCAAGACGATGTTGAGAACATGCTATTTTTTCCCAAACCATCCTGTGGTGTTGGGTCCTCGTTTGGAAGAGACGGTCCCCGCGTTCCTCCTCCCTCCTTCCTCCCTCCTCCCCCTCCCCCCTCCTCCCTCCCTGCGTTTCCCCCACCCAGTACAGCGTTTCGTGGCCAATGGGGAACTCCACCGAAGGCCCCAGTGGCAGGGTTCGCATGGTGGCCTCGGGCCATTTCGGCACACCCCTCACGAGGATCGGGGCCCCATAGGAGCTCCACCGAAGGCGCCAGTGGCAGGGTTCGCATGGCGGCCTCGGGCCATTTCGGCACACCCCTCACGAGGATCGTGGCCCCATAAGGAGCTCCACCAGGGGCCACAGTGGCAGGGTTCGCGTGGCGGCCCCGGGCCATTTCGGCACACCCGTCACGAGGATCGTGGCCCCATAGGAGCTCCACCGAAGGCCCCAGTGGCAGGGTTCGCGTGGCGGCCTCGGGCCGTTTCGGCACCGCCCTCACGAGGATCGTGGCCCCATAAGGAACTCCACCGAAGGCGCCAGTGGCAGGGTTCGCGTGGCGGCCTCGGGCCATTTCGGCACACCCCTCACGAGGATCGTGGCCCCGGTGCCCCAGTTTGAAGAACAGATTCGGTTGCGCGCCCCAGTTTGAAGAACAGATTCGGTTGCGCCCAGCGTGCCTCCCGTGGTTACCCAGAACCCTGAGGACAGAGGACTGAGGACTACAGGGGACCTGAGGGCTCTCCAACTCTTGTGCCCCGAGAGGCCCAACAGTGTCCTGCAAGGTGCCCCTACGAAGCCTCCAAGAGACCCCAGGAGGCCCCAAGAGGCTCCAGGACGCCTCCAAGAGGAGGCCCCGGAGGCCCCCTCGAGGCAACGAGGCCTCCACGACGACTCTGACTTGATGACGACCCAGGCGCGGTGGCGGCATGGGCCGAAGGCCACTAGACGGATACGTCAAGGGCGCCCACGAGGGCGCGAAGTTATTCGGGCTTCGTGCTTCGCGCTTCGCGGTTCGGCTCCGGGTCCTCCATCCTCCCGTTCTCGCCCGGGGGGCGGCGCGAGAGCGCGGCGTTCTTCGCGCTTCGTGCAGTGCGAGGCGCGAAGTCGGGCGCCCTGGCCGCTCCAGGTTGCCCCAGAATCCCCGCGGGCACACGCCGCCGGTGGCGGGTGGATCTCGTCACCCTGTCGGGGAGGCCCCCAGGGTTCGAGGAGGAGATCGACCGCATAATTGATTTGCCCCAAACTTGAAGTTCTCGTCCTCCGTAGATCTACGAGCATCCCACGTACTCCTCTTGCATTCGGCGAACAAGTGAAGCGTGGGGTAGATGAATTCTGTGGAGGTCAAACGCGCTTGAGACGCGGCTCGCGGAGATGATGAAGTACGTGTGAGGCCTGATGAGTTGCTTCACGCATCCATTGCAGCGTGCATCCAGATTCTGCTTTATTCCATTGTGGTTGTCGCTGCCTGCTGCTGGGGAAGTATAGTGGACGCCAGGGCGTAACCGTCTGCAAAGAAATACAGAAGATAGATTTTGTAGTCGATCTCCTATTCGGCCTGATCTCTAGATCTTTCTAAGAAGCCTTCCCCTCTCCCCCTACCCCCTTGCTCGCGCCGCCAACAATAGTTCCTGTGCGCCGGCGACGCCGGCCAAGGCGTTCAAGGTTGACTTCTGCGACGCTGAAGCACCGAGGGACTCGGTAACGCGACTGGACCCGACGAAATTCAACCTTGACGATCCGGCCGCGATCATCGATTCAAGGTTAAGGCACGTCCCTCTACAAGGGAACTATTCAGAAATAGTCTGAACATGGTCAGGAGTATTTCTGTTCTTGCGTATTTTTTTGGCCATGTTGAGCATTTTTTGACTACTTTTATTATTTCTTCGTCCAAGGTTCGCCTGTAGGGGGACATCCCCGACCCAAATTCAGGTTTGATCGACGCGGGGTCGAAAACCTCTGCGCGCGCCGACGCCGCACGAACCTGCCGCACATGGGGCAACGGCGAGGGGGGACCGGCATGGGCGTGGACGCCTCGCCCCCCAATCGTCCAGTGATCGCCGATAGGGGCCTGGTATAGGGCGACGAGATCTATACATATCCACTGCTCCTGGCCAGGCCCATCCTGGGCCCAAGAGCTGTGTATATGCCTCCCTGGCCAGGCCAGGAGGGCGTATACACCGCTCCTGGGCCCAGGATGGGCCTGGCCAGGAGCAGTGGATATGTATAGATCTCGTCGCCCTATGATACCCCCACTCCGCCCAGGAACGTAGGCATGCGCTGTCGGGGCCCGTCGCGAATCGATCGGCGACATATGCTATGTCGCCGATCGATTTGATGTGATGTCGTCGACAACGATATGATATGACGCCGACGATGTGACCGGATATGTCGCAAATCTGTCGGCGACGATATGATATCGTCGATTCCAGGTCGATGTTCCGCCCCTGTGCCAGTCCACCCATCTCGCTGCCCCCGGCGCCGCGGGAACCTGTCGTACGTACTCGACTAGCAGCGCCCCCCTGCCTTCCCCTGCCCGCCCCTTGCCCAGAGTGCACCCAGCTTTGCCCAAAGTGCCCCTTGCCCCAAAGCTCTGCGTTTTCTCGAGCCAGCAGCATCATGGAGCTCAGCGCACTGCTCATGCCTCGGGGGCTGGCAGGATTTTCTCTGGCCCGAGCCCGCCGCGCGGGCCAAAGGCTGGAGCCCAGCCACGGCGGTGCAAGACTCGCGCGCAGGTTCGCGTCAGATAAAAAAGTAAAACAAAAAATACCCAGCTGTTCGCTCCATTTTGGAGCCCCCGGGACCCTCCTGGGCCTCGTGAGGGGTGCTCTGGAGGCCGTGGGGGCCTCCTTGGAACTCCTGGGGGCACCTTGGGCCAGGGGCACTCTTGGTAACACCCGGAAAGAAGTATCGACACCGCTACTCCCCGGACCTCTCCTGGCGTGCGTTCAGACCAACATTTGGAGGCAAATCCAGCTGTGGCGAACAAGGGCCTCCTGGGAGGCCCAGGTAAGGGAAAACGAGGCAAGGGTAGTGGTATCGGTACCGTTTCCTCCTCTGACATCTTCTCCGTACTCATCTCGATCGCACCGAATCCTCGAACGATGTTTGATGGGCCGATTCTCCACCACCACTACCATAGGTAGGAGAGGGGGGAGGAGGCATGAAGGAATGAATGAAGGAAGGAAGCAAGGACGGAGGGAGGGAGGGACGGTGGGAGGGAGGGAGGGAGGGAGGGAGGGAGGGACGGACGGACGGACGGAAGGAAGGAAGGAAGGAAGGAAGTAAGAGGAGGATGAGAAGGAGGAGAAAGGAAGGAAGGAAGGAAGGAAGGAAGGAAGCAAGGAATGATGTGGATGATGATGATGAGGAGGAGGACGAGGAGAAGGATCGCACCGAATGACTTCACCGTGCTCGAGCAGCAGCGCCCCCCTGCCAGGCCCCCCCGCCGTACCGCTTCGTGGCGGAGCCCGCGCAGGCGGGCGGCGCCCCGGCGTGGCGCTGCAGGCTGGCCTGCGAGGCCGCCCCGGGCCGACGCCGACGACGCCGCCGCCGACGCCGACGACGCCGACGACGCCGACGACGTCGACGACGAAGACGACGACGCCGACGACGCAAACGACGGCGACGCCGCCGACGACGACGCCGACGACGAAGACGACGCAAACGACGGCGACGCCGCCGACGACGACGCCGCCGATGACGACGACGCCGACGACGCCGACGATGCCGACGATGCCGACGCTGACGCCGCCGCCGACGCCGACGACGTCGACGCCGACGACGCCGTCGACGCCGACGCTGACGCCGACGCCGACGACGACGACGTGCGACGACGACGACGCCGACGCCGACTGACGCCGACGCCGACGCCGACGTGACGCCGACGCCGACGCCGACGCCGACGACATCGACGACGACGCCGACGACGCCGACGACGCCGCCGACGACGACGCCGATGCCGCCGACGACGCTGACGCCGACGACGCCGCCGATGACGACGCGACGACGACGACGACGCCGACGCTGACGCCGCCGCCGACGCCGACGACGTCGACGCCGACAACGCCGTCGACGCCGACGCTGACGCCGACGCCGACGACGACGACGCCGACGCGACGCCGACGCTGACGCCGACGCCGACGCTGACGCCGACGCCGACGCCGACGCCGACGACGACGACGACGCCGACGACGCCGACGACGCCGACGACGACGACGCCGATGCCGCCGACGCTGACGCCGCCGCCGACGCCGCCGACGACGCCGACGACACCGACGACGACGCCGACGACGAAGACGACGACGGCGACGCCGCCGACGACGACGACGCTCACGGCGACGACTCCGACGACGACGCCGACGACGACGGCGACGCCGATGCCGCCGACGACGCTGACGACGCCGCCGACGACGCCGCCGACGACGCCGAGGACACCGACGACGACGCCGACGACGAAGACGACGACGACGCCGCCGAGGACGCCGACGACGCTCACGGCGACGACGCCGACGACGCCGCCGACGACGACGACGACGACGCCGACGCTGTCGCCGAACACGACGCCGACGACGTCGGCGCCGACGACGACGACGCCAACGACAACGACGACGCCGACGACGACGCCGACGACGCCGACGACGCCGCCGACGACGCCGACGCCGCCGACGACGCCGACGACGCCGACGACGAAGACGATGTCGACGCCGATGCCGACGACTACGTCGATGCCGACGACGACGCCGACGACGAGGCCGACGTCGACGACGTTGATGGCCAACTTTCCACCACCGCTGCCAGAGGTAGGACGGGGGAGAAGGGAGGATGGGGAGGTCCTCCTCCTCATCCTCCTCCTCCTTCCTTCTCCTTCTCCTCCTCGTCCTTCCTTCGCCTTCTCCTTCTCCTTCTCCTTCTCCTTCTCCTACTCCTCCTACTCCTCCCACTCCTCCTCCTACTCCTCGTTCTTCCTCTCCCACCGGAGGACGGCACCTGTGCAAAATGGGATCCCTCCCCAGGAAAGCAGGCGGGTAGCCTCCCGATCGTCACCCCTGGTGCTCCACCAGGACCCCTGGGGGAGAGAAGAAAGGTAGTCGTAGGCCGTCCCAGCCCGCGCCACTGGGGAAGCGTCGTGCCTGGGGCCTAGGGGCTGTTCCCGACTCGCCAGTGCGGCGGGCTGGGACAGTCCGGGGTCCCGGTGCGCGGCCTTTCCTTCCGTCTTCCCGTGCCTGGGTTGTGGGTTTATGCCACGTTTTGCTGCGACACCCTTGCGGTGGCCCACCTGGTACTCCGCCAGGGTTCGGGCGGTGTCGCGGGCCCCCTGTGCGGGGGGGGCTCATTGGAGGATCCCGGCCCGTTCCTCCCGCTGTCACGGTCCCCCGCCGTGGCGTGCGTGGGGGCGGGTAGTCCCCGGGGGAATGGTGCTCTTCGGGTGGCTTATCGGGGCGGCAAGACCGAGAGCGGCGTGTCGTTACGTGAGGCCTCGACATCGTTCGAACGCTTGTAGCTGCGCTGCGTTATTTTTGCTTTTGCCGCCTCGCACACTGGTCGCGCGCATCGGCTCTGGACGCCTGCAACCCTCGTTTTGCGTGTCTCTGCGGTAAGCCTCGCCGCCTCCAGCCACAGAGTCTGGGCGAGCCCGCGCGGACTCCAGCCGTGAGGGGGGCGGTGGGGTGGTTTTTGAGCCAATGAGTGCTCGAGCCGACTCCTGCTCTCACGGTTGGCCCATGGCGCCCTGACACGGTCCGCCTTTTGGGTTGCTCCACTCCGCTCCCACCGGAGGACGAGCCCACTTGGCTCGCGGCGGTGGCTCCCCTTGTCAGGTACTTTAAGGAGCTCTGGTGTGCCCATTCAAGGGCGTATCGCTGGTGCTTCAGTTCTGCGGAGCTCCGCGAGGCGCGGATAATATTTTTCCAGAAGCGGCCCCCGATTTCTTGGGGAGGTGTCGCGGGGCCTTTCTCCGCGATGATCATGTGCCTGAAACGGACCCAGTGGAAGTTCACAGACTGGGTCACGCTGGGAAGCGATTCCGGGAAGAGCTGATTTTAACCGAGGTGAGCCCAGGGCTTCTGAAGACTCTGTTGCGCCGAGCTGTTCTTCGGGTGCCTGAGAGGTTGGCTGATCAAAAATTGGTCCTGGAGGTGCCCAGGCTTTGCCTCGAGGTGCTCAAGCGGGCCTTGCATCCCAGTGAGCTTCCCCGTCGGGCACGCCGGCTATTCGAGTTACTGGTTGTGACGCCAGCTGGACCAGAGTGCGTGCCCTCTGTCCTGGATGCCAACTGGAACCAGTAGACTGCCATCTTTGCGGACGCACCGTCTGTGGCAGTGCCCTGCTTGCGCCGAGGAGCGCGCGGAGATATACTCCAAGAGGTGCCAGCAGTATGTCGATAGTATGGACGAGGACAGACCCCAGGACCTGCTCTTACTCACTCGTGCGATCTTCCCCCACCCTGGCTACTTCTGGCCTAGACCCGAGCAGGAGTGTAAGACCGTGTGGCAATGGGAGGAGGAGGTCGTGGAGGAGGAGCAGTCAATGATGGGTGAGCTGTTCCTGGACGACAGTTGTACCAAGTGTGGCGTACCTGAGCTGAATCGGGCGGCCTGGGCGGCTTTCGATCGGGCTTTCAGGTTCATGGGGCGCGTTTTTGGCACGGTTTATGCTGGCCTCCCCCAAACCTCCCAGACGGGTGAGTTTGCGGCATTCGGTTGTGCCAGTCAAACTGTGGAGGGCCAGTGTGACATGTAGACCGACTGTGCGAGTGTCCATGTGCAGGCTAATCGACCCCTGGGTGACCAAATGTATTATCAGATGCCATCTGCAGGGCTGCTGCTGCACGGGCAACGTGTTTCACACCTCTCCAGTCTGTGAGTAAGGTAAAGGCCCACCTGTCCACTCAAGAGCAGGGGGTCCCCGAGAGCGAGATGAGGCTTCGGAGAGGAAACTTCCAAGCCGATCAGGACGCGAAAGCGGGGGTCCGCCTCCATGCGGCCGCTGCGGCCGAACAGGCTCAGGATCTCGACGAAGTTCTGCTGACAGCTGGCACTGTCTGCAAGCTGGCCGCTGCGTGGCTCTTCAGTGGCCAGGGCTCGACTTGAAAGACCTCGTGTCTGTCGCCCCTCTGGGGCGGGCCCGCCAAGGGCACCCCGACCGCCCTGAGCACGTGTGGGAATACAAAGCCAATCGCTGGCGATGCCATCCTCCTCCTCCTCCCCCTCCTCCTCCTCCTTCTCCTCCTCCTCCTCCTCCTCCTCCTCCTCCTCCTCCTCCTCCTCCTCCTCCTCCTCCCCCTCTTCCTCCTCCTCCTCCTCCTCCTCTCGGTCTCAGTTCCGCCCCCCGACTGGTGGTTGCTCGGGTACCCGCGGGGACTGGGACTTTTGGGGATATGGAAAGACACGGCCATTTTGTGGTCGGCCTGCCTTGTGATAGGAGCGAGGTGCTGCACAGTTGCACGCGGTGCGCTGCTGATGTTGTTCTTGGGTCTCCCAAGCAGTCCAACCTCAGTGGCAGGTGTGGCCAGCAGATGACGGCTCATGAGAAGTGTCTCTGGCGCCGCGTGCTCCGTAGGCTCTGCCCCAGCTACAGTTCGATGCTGAAGGTGGACCCCGATGGTGTTCAAGACCTCACCGTGTCAGGCGGATTTTAATCATGATTGAACTCGCTACAGTCGTGCTTTGCTGGTGTCAGTGGTTGCTGATTCTAGCGGGTCCCGCCACGCATGTTCTTCCCTGTTTGGATTATGCTGTGGCGCTACAGGTCCGGCTTGCTGGTGGCAGCTTGCTGGTGGCTCGTGCTCTCGTCTGAATGCCGGCTACATGCTTGGTTCGGACGGCCGCGAACCTTGGTAAAATCAGAGCGTGAATTACCTACCCCGCTTTCGCTTCCAGGAAAAACCAAGTCATACCACGCGCCTCCTCGTCAAGCGACCTGACCAGTACAGGCCGTAGTTTGGCATCGCTTGGTATCTCTTGGAAGCGAGGGCGGTCAAAAGCGAGGTAGGTTTGTTTTCCCCCTATAAAAGGTAAGCGGCGGCGAACCCGGGGAAAAAGTGAGAAGGGGCGGAGCTTCTCAGGAGGCTCGGAAGTCCCTGAGCCTTCTGAGAAGTTCTGTTTACCCGAAAACGCAGGGCACCTCTCAGAAGGTGCGGGCTTCTTAGAAGTCCCGCCGCCTTCTGAGAAGGCCTTCTCCTTCTCATTTCCCCCCTCGCTCGCCGTCGAGATCAACGAAGGTGCGCATGGCCGTGGTCTCACCAGTGTTCGGGCTGCATCTGTCGTAGGGGTCCGTAGGAACACCCAGGAATGCACGTTGGCATCTGCCGGCCTCCTACTCCTCGACCTCCCTCTTCACCTGTGCTGCTACGAGGTGCTTGCTGGGGTAATGCGGCGGCTTCGGCCTCTGCGGGCACCTCCTCGGCTTCCGCCGGGTCCGTCTACAGATGGACCACAGGATGGGTCCGATGAGTGATTTCGACCAGATTTCGGCGGCGCGCTCGTCGTCGTCATCGTCATCGTAACCGTAATCGTCTTCGACGACAACGGCAACGGCGACGACGACGACGACGTCGACGTCGACGGCGACGGCGACGGTGAAGACGACGGCGACGGCGACTGCGACTGAGACGACGGCGACGACAACGGCGAAGGCGACGGCGACGGCGACGACGACTGCGACGGCGAAAGCGACGACGACGACCACGATGACGACGAACACGACGACGACGAAGACGATGCCGACGACGACGCTACGACGAACCAGCCGAAGTTCCAACAGCATCGGTCCATTGATCCTCTCTGATGTGGATCGCTTCCCATCGTTGTCTCATCAGGCGTCTCATCACAATCTCATCACCATCAAAAACTCATCAGACGTTTCATCAACATCCAGTCGTTTCCTCATCCTGGGTCGACGTCTGACAGTCCCGCCCCAAGACGCTGATTGGTAGTCCCCAGTCGTGGTGGTGACCGCACCCGGCGGTGAGTCTCGGATGATTTCGTGCCACCGCACGGTTTGGAGATTCGTGTGGTTTTTCGAAGATGTTCCGAACGCTGGTGGGTCCAGGAGTCACAGAACCCAGCGGTGACCCCGTGTTCCAAAACCCTGCGGTGACTTTTTGGGGATTGCATGCCACCATTTGATGTCTCACCACCTGGTTTGGGGGCTCCCGAAGCCGAAGCTGGCGAAGAGCTGGCTCGATCCTCGAGCCTCGCTCCCCTCACTTCGCGCATCGCGCCCCCGCGAGGCGCGACGCGCGGTTGTCTTCGCGCCCTCCGTGGCTTCGGCCCTGGAGATGGGGGCCTCTCGAGCACTCGGCGGCGAAATCTGAACCCTACCCTCGCCGATCAACGATTCAGGCAACTCGATGGGCGGCGGGGTGGGGTTCGGAACTCGTCGACCACGTGGAGAATTCCGAACCCTACCCCCGCCTCCGATCGGTTCGGGGGCAGTCGATGGCTGGTGGGGGTAGGATTCGGATTTCGCTACCTGAACATTCTCCAGCCCGGCGCGAAACAATGGTGAATTTCGCGCCCCCCCACGGGCCCTGTGAAGGGATCGTCCGGTGCTCGACTCTGAGCGCACTTTGGCCGGAGGAGGAGGATGAGGAGGAGGAGGAGGAGGAGGAGGAGGAGGAGGAGGAGGAGGAGGAGGAGTGTAAACCCAAGACTCATCAACGATCTTGGGATAACTCCTCCCTCCGAGTTCCCTCTCCACATGCACCTACAAGGGCTCATTTCCACTGAGGGAACTGTCTCGTTGGGAGACGGCCGTTGGAGGCTCCTGAAGCATGCCGAAACACCATTCTCGGGACTCCAACGCCGCGGATCAACCTGATTGTTGCGTCTTGTCGATCCTGAATCTTGCCAGGATGCCATTCTTGAGACCTCGCACCGCGAATTAGCCTAACTGCTGCACCCTCACAGTCCTGAATCCTTCCAAGAAGTAGTTTCTGATACCCTGACCATGGGAATCCGTGAAACTCGCGTCCTTCTTCAAACTCATGTGCGCGGCGCTAAGGCGAGAGCCACACTTTCTAAACGAGCCGCCCTCAATCCGTGACACTCTTGCATTTTTCCAGACGAGTGTGCGTGGCTCGAAGGTGAGAGCCACATTTTCAAAACCGTCCGCCCTGAATCTGTGAACCTGTTGCCAATGTGAGTAAATCTGAGGCGAAACGCCTGGCTCGCCCTTTCGACCAGTCTCGGGGTGCGACAGGGAGGAGTTTTTTAGGAGGGAAAGGGAAGGAGGAGGAGGAGGAGGAAGAGGAGGAGGAGGAGGAGGACGACGACGACGAAGATGACGGCGGCGGCGGCGGCGACGACCGCGACGACCACGACGACCACGTCGACGACGACGGCGACGGCGACGGCGACGGCGACGGCGACGGCGACGGCGACGGCGACGGCGACGGCGACGGCGACGGCGACGGCGACGACGACGACGACGACGACGACGACCGGCGAGGCGGCGCTGAGGCTGCTGCTGGCGCGGCCCGCGCAGCTGCGGGGGCTCTGGGACTGGGCGGGGTTGGCCTCGCTTCTGGGCCACGAGGACCCGCGGGGCTTGGAGTCGGCGTCACCCCAACATACTGATACTATGTGTGCGTCGCCCCCCCAGGGGCGGCGCGCGCATCGAGAAATGTTACAGTTCATGGGTCGTGGTGGGCGCTTTCTGGCCACACCGCTCGGGAAACGATATACTACAAGATGTGTATACAGTTCTGGCGGTCGGCTCCAGCCGCTGTGAGCACCGCGTGGGTGATCGGACCGCCCGAGCCGAGCTGAGGCGGCATCGGGCGCAACACGAGGGCGTTTCAAACATGTTCTGGGAAGGCCTTCCGGGGGGGAGGGAAGGGCAGGGGCGGTAGCCTCACGTTTCGCGCGGGCGCCGTCTGGGATGGGAATCTCTAGGAGCATCCCAAGACAATTCGGAGGACTGCGCGAATCTTGAAGTTACTGGGGGGGGGTGCAGGGGCCAGCATCAGCCGCTATGGAGAACAATCAAAAAAAGCTCTCCATGGATCGCTAGTGATTAGCTCTTACCCCAAAATGACCCAGGCCCCCTCGTGAAACCCTCCCAGAACCCTTCGATGAAAGCCTTCTGGGAGGGTTTTCCCATGGTTTCGGGAAGGTTTCGGCCAATCTGAGGGTAAAGCAGTCCCTAGCGAACCGGGGTGGCTGCAGCCGACAGGGGGGGGATCGGCCAGCAGGTGACGGGGTTCAGCACAAACGTCAGGGGCAAAGCTAAGTGAGGCATGAATCCCCAATCGCCCATCCATCGCCGATAGGGACCCGGCAGCTTACCCACCCAGGAACGTGCGGATTCGCGATCGGGGGCCTATTTCCGATCTATTGGTGATGCGTCGCCGATTCCAGCTCGATGTTTCCCCCCCCCGCCCCCCCAAGCCAGTCCCCCCTGGCGTTAAGTCGGGCCTGTCCCTCTACAAGAGGAATGCCCAAACATAGTCAAACAATAATCAGGGGTTGATCTTTTTCGCTATGTTAAAGGGGTATTTGGGACAATTTTTGAATATTTTTGCAAGTATTTTATTTTTCGTCCGAATCCACCTGTAGGAGGACATGCCCGGCTAACCCTGGCGTTCCCCGTCAAAACGTGGCTCAGCCAGAGGCCGCCGGAGCCTGCAGGATCTTGCAGAGCTGGGCTTTGGCCGAGTCCCAAAGGCGTGGGAGCCGCCCGTGGCCTTGGAGGTGGCCTTACATTGAAGTCGGGCGTGGCCCTCTACAGGAGGAATACCAAAAAGTAGTCCAACATTATCCTGGCGAAGGACCCAACCACATGTAGTTGTGAGAGACGCGTTGTGGGTGCCGCTTCCGGTGGGCCACGCAACGCGTGATGGTGCGTGCGGTAATGAGTAGGAGGGACGCATGCGGGTGGTCCCAGTGGGGCCTACGGTGGAGCTCCCTGTGGGGCCACGACGCGCTGTAGCGGGTTGTGGAGACGCATGCGGGCGGTGCTATTGGGGCCTTCGGTGTAGCCACCATATTGGGCCACGAAACGCTGCACTGGGTGGGGGGGGGCGCATGTGGGCGGTCCCACTTCGACCTTCGCTTGAGCTCCATATTCCGAGGTGGGAATATACATATAACGGCGCACCGGGTCCGGGGGCCCGGGGCCGGGACCTCGACCACAAATGTGCACCCCGGGGGGCCCGGAGGCTCGTCGGGGCTTGCCGGAGGCCTCCCCAGTCAGACAAGACGGCCCAAGAAGCGCCCAAGACGGCCCAAGAAACTTCCAAGAGGCCTCCAAGAGGGCTCCGAGATGCTGAAGATGGCCTCCAGACGTCCAAGGACGCCCCCAAGAGGCCCCAAGAAGCCTCCAACATGCGTCCCAAGAGGGCCCCTAGACGCAAAAATTGGCCCATTCCCTTCGTAAAACGTACATTTTTCAACAAAGTTGCTTTTTGGGTTTCCGACGTTACAGGACGGCCCAAGAGGCGCCCAAGACCGCCCCAAGACGGCCCAAGAAGCCCCCAGGACAGCCCAAGAGGGCCCCAAGACGGCCCAAGAGGCGCCCAAGATGGCCCAAGAGGGCCCCAAGACGGGCCCAAGAGGGGGCCCAGAGGGTGACCACGAACCGCAAGCTCGAGCCTTCCGCCCCAAGAGGCCGCCAGGAGGCCCCCAGGAGGCCCCTCGAGAGGCCCCAGGAGACCCCAGACGTCCAAGGACGCCCCCAAGAGGCCCCAAGAAGCCTCCAACATGCGTCCCAAGAGGGCCCCTAGACGCAAAAGTTGGCCCATTCCCTTTGTAAAACGTACATTTTTAACAAAGTCGCCTTTTGGGCTTTCCGACGTTACAGGACGGCCCAAGAGGCGCCCAAGACCGCCCCAAGACCGGCCCAAGAAGTTCCCAGAGGGCCCCAGGACAGCCCAAGAGGGCCCCAAGACGGCCCAAGAGGCGCCCAAGATGGCCCAAGAGGGCCCCAAGACGGGCCCAAGAGGGGGCCCAGAGGGGGACCACGAACCGCAAGCTCGAGCCTTCCGCCCCAAGAGGCCGCCAGGAGGCCCCCAGGAGGCCCCTCAAGAGGCCCCAGGAGACCCCAGACGTCCAAGGACGCCCCCAAGAGGCCCCAAGAAGCCTCCAACATGCGTCCCAAGAGGGCCCCTAGACGCAAAAATTGGCCCATTCCCTTCGTAAAACGTACATTTTCAACAAAGTTGTCTTTTGGGCTTTCCGACGTTACAGGACGGCCCAAGAGGCGCCCAAGACCGCCCCAAGACGGCCCAAGAAGCTTCCAAGAGGGCCCCAGGACAGCCCAATAGGGCCCCAAGACGGCCCAAGAGGCGCCCAAGATGGCCCAAGAGGGCCCCAAGACGGGCCCAAGAGGGGGCCCAGAGGGGGACCACGAACCGCAAGCTCGAGCCTTCCGCCCCAAGAGGCCGCCAGGAGGCCCCCAGGAGGCCCCTCAAGAGGCCCCAGGAGACCCCAGACGTCCAAGGACGCCCCCAAGACGCCCCAAGAAGCCTCCAACATGCGTCCCAAGAGGGCCCCTAGACGCAAAAGTTGGCCCATTCCCTTCGTAAAACGTACATGTTCAACAAAGTTGTCTTTTGGGCTTTCCGACGTTACAGGACGGCCCAAGAGGCGCCCAAGACCGCCCCAAGACGGCCCAAGAAGCTTCCAAGAGGGCCCCAGGACAGCCCAAGAGGGCCCCAAGACGGCCCAAGAGGCGCCCAAGATGGCCCAAGAGGGCCCCAAGACGGGCCCAAGAGGGGGCCCAGAGGGGGACCACGAACAGCAAGCTCGAGCCTTCCGCCCCAAGAGGCCGCCAGGAGGCCCCCAGGAGGCCCCTCAAGAGGCCCCAGGAGACCCCAGACGTCCAAGGACGCCCCCACGACGCTTCGCGTCACCAATTTCTTCTCACAACGATTCCTGGGTCTGTGACTCGACAGAACCTAAGCGCGCGCGAAGCGCGCGCGTGGTTCTAGTTTTATATAACCACCACCTGGGGGGTCGATTTTCACAGACCTCCACGGGCGGTGGATCTGGACAGATTCGAGCCCCCGGGGGTTATAATATATCCATACCCACCGCCCGCTAGGGCACCAGGACGTCGGTTCCCAGGCGGTGGATATGGATAAATCCCCGCCTCGCACATAAGGGGCCACGAAGCGCTGTACTGGGTGTGGCGGACGCCTGCGGGCGCCCCCACTGGAGCCTTCGGTGGAGCTCCCTATGGGGCCACGAAGCGCTGTACTTGGTTCTGGCGGGCGCATGCGGGCACCCCCGCTAGGGCCTTCGGTGGGGCTCCCTGTGGGGCCACGAAACGCTTTGTTGGGTGTGGCGGACGCATGTGTGCACCCCCAGTGGGGCCTTCGGTGGAGCTCTCTATGGGGCCACGAAGCGCTGTACTGGGTGTGGCGGGCGCATGCGGGCACCTCCGCTGGGGCCTTCGGTGGAGCTCCCTCTGGGGCCACGAAACGCTTTGTTGGGTGTGGCGGACGCATGTGGGCCCCCCAACGGGGCTTTCGGTGGAGCACCCTATGGGGCCACGAAGCGCTGTTCTTGGGGTGTGGCGGACGCATGCGGGCACCCCCGCTGGGGCCTTCGGTGGAGCTCCCCATGGGGCTACGAAGCGCTGTGGTGGGTGTGGCGGACGCATGCGGGCACCCCCACTGGGGCTTTAGGTGGAGCTCCCTCTGGGGCCACGAAACGCTGTACTGTGTGTGGCGGATGCATGCGGTCACCCTCACTGGGGTCTTTGGTGGAGCTCCCTATGGGGCCACGAAGCGCTGTACTGCGTGTGGCGGACGCACGCGGGCACCCCCGCTGGGGCGTTCGGTGGGGCTCCCTGTGGGGCCACGAAACGCTTTGCTGGGTGTGGCGGGCGCATGTGGGCACCCCCAGTGGGGCCTTCGGTGGAGCTCCCTATGGGGCCACGAAGCGCTGTACTTGGTTTTGGCGGGCGCATGCGGGCATCCCCGCTGGGGCCTTCGGTGGAGCTCCCTCTGGGGCCACGAAACGCTTTGTTGGGTGTGGCGGACGCATGTGGGTCCCCCAACGGGGCTTTCGGTGGAGCACCCTATGGGGCCACGAAGCGCTGTTCTTGGGGTGTGGCAGACGCATGCGGGCACCCCCGCTGGGGCCTTCGGTGGAGCTCCCCATGGGGTCACGAAACGCTGTACTTGGTGTGGCGGACGCATGCGGGCACCCCCGCTGGGGCCTTCGGTGGAGCTCCCTATGGGGCCACGAAGCGCTGTACTGGGTGTGGCGGACGCATTCAGGCCCCCCCAGTGGGGCCTTCGGTGGAGCTCCCTATGGGGCCACGAAGCGCTGTACTGGGTGGGGGAAAAACGCAGGGAGGAGGGAGTAGGGGGATGAGGGGGAGGAGGAGAGAGAGTTGGAGGAGAGGAGAGAGGAGAGAGGAACGCGGGTACTGTCTCTTCAAAACGAGGACCCAATACCACAGGATGGTCGGGAACTATTATGGGGACGATTTATTGAATATTTGTTGTCATGTTTGAATATTTGTTGCCTGCTTTTTATTTTTCGTCCAAAATCCGCCTGTAGGAGGACACGCCCGACCTAACCTTACATGTTGGCTGAGCCGGGTTTGGGAGGCCCCCCAGGGGGGCAACATCCCGAAGAAGAAACATTTACACAAACATGCTTCACCGAGCGCATTCCACTCCTCGCAAAGCGCTTATTTCGCAAACGTCCGAACAACACGTGTTCGCCTCGGCGTAATAGATCGTAGATCCCCCGCGGCCGATCCAGGCCATTTGCGAGTAGTCACTTTGCGAGGAGTGGAACGCGCTCATCTAATACGGAGGTCCGTGCGGATTTCTTTGGTCGGCGCTGGATCCCTGGCGGCGCCTCCGGTGCCGCCCCTGGCGCGTGCGCGAGGCGTGCGGACGAGTCAGGGGCGCTGACAGCGGGGGATAGGCCCACCCTGTCGGGGATTTTGGGATCGGGGGTTGAGGATTTGAGGCGCCTCTGGCAGTCTCTGGGCCTCCTCGTGGCCACGGCCAGATCCGCTTCAGATTTCTGGCCAGAACACACCCCAGAACAGACCTCGGGGGGTAACTTTTTGACTCTGGACCCCTGGCGTCTTGAACAGAAACCGCTCCGAAGGTTTTGGCTGTTTTCTACTTGCCCCCCGGCGACGTCACCGGGCCGCCAGGCCCCGCCGCCAAAGACGCTTCGGAACGAGAAGCCAGTCCCTGGGGAGGGGTCCAAAGCTCCAAAGCTCTGGGGAGCCGCGTCGTGAAGAGATGCGACGTCGGAGGTGTGGGGAGGGGGTGAAACATTGAAGGAGGAGGAGGAGGAGGAGGAGGAGGAGGAGGAGGAGGAGGAGGAGGAGGAGGAGGAGGAGGAGGAGGAGGAGGACGAGGAGGAGGAGGAGGAGGAGGAGGAGGAGGAGGAGGAGGGAGGAGGAGGAGAGGAGGAGGGAGAGGAGGAGGAGGAGGGGAGGAGAGAGGGGGAGGGGGAGGAGGAGGAGGAGGAGGAGGAGGAGGAGGAGGAGGAGGAGGAGGAGGAGGAGGAGGAGGAGGAGGAGAGGAGGAGGAGGAGGAGGAGGAGGACGGAGGAGGAGGAGGAGGAGGAGGAGGAGGAGGAGGAGAAGGAGGAGGAGGAGGAGGGAGGAGGAGGAGGAGGAGGAGGAGGAGGAGGGGGAAGGCGAGGCCAAGGGGGAGGGGGGGGGGGGGGGAAACATCGAGCCCCAACTCGCCTACTCGTTGCCAAGCGGCGCCTGCGTGCCCCACCCTGCCCAGCAGCACGCGCAGCCTCGCAATCGGGGGCCTATCGCCGATCTGTCGGTGGCATATCGCCGGCTCCAGGTCAGAACGCACCCGTACACAACCACCACAAGCCTTGGCCAGGGCAATCCTGGGCCCTGGCATGTTGCATACGCCCTCCTGGCCGATGCCACGCGGGTCTGTGCACAATACTCCGGCCCAGGAAGGACCCCGACGCTCGGGACCTCCTGTGTTGGGAGCGTTCCAGACATGGCATGGAGTCCTGGCCCAGGGTGTTCCAATGCCGCCCCCGCTCAGCCGGTTCCCGCCCCCTTTCGGGACAACCGAAATGGGTACGGAAACAGCGGCCACAAAGTCTAACAGTAGTGCTTGTTTCGGGCCAGACGGAAGGGGGGGACTGGGAAAGGGGTGCGGAATCTGCTGCATGCAGCTGGTTTCGGCCCCGCCGAGGGGCCCATTCTTCGATACATCGACGCCTCCAGCGCCGGGAGGCGCCGGGAAAATCAGCTACGTGAGCTGTTTCTCAACCCCCCCTTTGCTATCCCCCCCTTTCGCCCAGCCCGATTGTTCATTCTGCACAGGGTTCGTTGTCGGCGTCGACGCGGACGTTGTTTATTTGAGACGGGACTGCCTGCCCAAGAGCGGCCGCTGCTTGTTATGGACAACATTTGTTGTTGGGCATCGTGCCAATTTTTTCCGTGCCCATTTCGGGCGTCCGCATTTTTGTCTCACCCTGAACGAAGAATTGGTATAACATCAGTTTTCCCGCCAGCGTCGTCCGCCAACAGGTGCGAGGCTTCGGGTTGAGAGGGTTGAGGCTCGTGGGCGTTCTCGGCCATTCTTGGGCCTCTGGAGGCCTCCAAGGTCTCCTCTTCCTGGGACCTCTGGGGGGCCCTCTGAGATCTTTGTACGACGGGATCTGCAATGTATGATGAAGCTTTTGGTATGTGTTTCACTCCTTCTTGGCGTCCCCGGAGGCTTCTCGTCACTACGGTTTGATTCCCCTCGACCTTTGGCCGCGCACTCCGTGAGAGGTCCGGGGGTTGACGCGTCAGGGCCGCCGCGAAGAAAACCGAGGTGTTGCCAGAGGTGGGCCTGGCCCAGGTTGCCCCCAGAATTTCCAGGGAGGCCCAGGTCAGATGGTCTCCAGAGCACCCCCGCCCCAGAGGGCCCCCGGGGCGCCAAAGGGTGCGAGAAGCTGGGAGCACCCTGGGCCAGGACTCCATGCCATGTCTGGAACGCTCCCAACACAGGAGGTCCCGAGCGTCGGGGTCCTTCCTGGGCCGGAGTATTGTGCACAGACCCGCGTGGCATCGGCCAGGAGGGCGTATGCAACATGCCAGGGCCCAGGATTGCCCTGGCCAAGGCTTGTGGTGGTTGTGTACGGGTGCGTTCTGCGTGCGCAGGCTCCCTGTCTCGCACTCCGCCCTCCCCATCCTCGCCGTTCTCTTCTCTTCTCCTTGCTTCTCTTCTCGCTTCTTCTCTTCTCTTTTCTCTTTCTTAACTTCCCTCCTCCTCCTCCTCCTCCTCCTCCTCCTCCTCCTCTCTCTCCTCTCCCTCCTCTCCCTCTTTCCCTCATCCTCTCTCTCCTCCTCCGTCTCCTCCTCCTTCTCCTCCTCCTCCGCCCTTCCTTCCTCCTCCTCCTTCTCCTCCTCCTCCTCGAGCCGTATCTTTTTCACACACACACAATACACACAGAACCATGTGGCTTTCCTATCTTACCAGCTCTTCATCCCGATTCGGTTGGCGGCACGGCCCTCGGGGCCGGGGGGCTCCGGGGGCTCTGCAGAGGGAGGCATTCGCCCACGCGTGAGCTCTCGAGGACTCCTGCCCCTTCCCCCCCCCCACGCGTCTCCTGCGCTCGGAGACGACAGCACGCCGCTCCTCCTCCTTCTCCTCCTCCTCCTCCCTCCTCCTCCCTCCTCCTCCTCTCCTCCTCCTCCTCCACTCCTCCTCCTCCTCCTCCTCCCCCTCCCCCTCCCCCTCCCCCTCCTCCTTCCCCAGAACGCCTCGGATGTCCGCGCGGAGGTCTCGCATCGGCTCTGGATTCCAGGGGGCGGCGCGGTGCCGCGGTGGGGGGGCCCTGCGCCGACCCAGGAGGCCCCCGCGCGGACCTCCGAGCACCCTGTCCCAGTGGCGCTGCGAGCGCGGCTCGTCCCCCGGCGCTCGGGCGGTCGCCTCTGGGGGGGGCGGCTTGGGTACGGTAGGTTCCTCCTCCTCCTCCTCCTCTCCTCCCTCCTCCTCCTCCTCCTCCCTCTCCTCCTCCTCCCTCCTCCTCCTCCCTCCTCCCTCCTCCTCCTCCTCCTCCTCCTCCTCCTCCTCCTCCTCCTCCTCCTCCTGTAGGTTCGCGTCGTGTCGACCGGCGGCGACCCCGCCGCCGACGTTCAACGTTGAACGCCGACGGCGGCCCAGAATCGGTCGATGTCGAACGATCGGACGTTGCGGAGACGGCCGATCGTTCAAGGTTGAACGATCCAGCGCGGTGTCAGGAACCAACGCCAGGGTCGGCACGGCACGGACCTGCCGTGGGGGAACGGACCATGACATGAACGTAACAACTCGGAGGTCCGCGCGGATTTCTCGGATCGGAGCTGGACCCCCCCTGGCGGCGCCAGGGGCGCCGCCCCTGGCGCGCTTCGCGCGCCAGGGAGGGGGGTCCAGCGCCGATCCGAGAAATCCGCGCGGGCCTCCGAGTTTTGATGTTTATGTCATTGTTCGTTCCCCTGCTTCGGGGCCCGTCTCGGCAGTCTTCCTGGGCCGAAAGCTTGTGCCCTAAGACCCGACGTTGCGAGAAAGTTACAGCATCGTTGGAAATCACGACCAGACTTCTCGTGCACTCCTCGCTCGGGATCGACCTGTGATGGCGCCAGGGCCCAACAAGTGCAAGTGGCGAACGCGCCCAGTGAGAACAAAACAACGCCCAGATCTCATGGTGTGTGTGTGTGTGTGTGTGTGTGCAGTTTCTCAATGCCCAGCGAGTAGGGGAACAACGAATTACATAAACATAAAAGCTCGGAGGTCTGCGCGGATTTCTTGGATCCGCGCTGGACCCCCTCACTGGCGCGCGGAACGCGCCAGGAGAGGCGCCGGAGGCGCCGCCAGGGGGGCCCAGCGCGGATCCGAGAAATCCGCGCGGACCTCCGAGTTTTTATGTTTATGCCATTGTTCGTTCCCCTAGCGAGAGTCAGAAACCAGGCGAAGGCTGGCAAACCCCTGGCTGCCAACACGGAGCTCCAGGAACTGTTTTGCTCTCTCGCGGGACGCAGCCCGTTTATACCATCTAGAGTGCGCCGCGCTCTCTTCCGGGAGTTTGTCTTTTCCTCCCGGGAAGACCGTTCTGGCAGCCACGGACTTGCCAGCCCTCGCCCAGCTCCCGAGAGAGGACCTCGTGGTCCGGAGGCTCGCCTGCGCCGCGCTCTCGCACATGGTGGGCCTCGGCGTCGTGGCCTCGGGCGCGGCCCTCGGCTTCCTGGAGCTGCCCGACCTGGGCCTGCGGCCGCCTGCCGCGGGCCCCGAGTCCTGGAGGGCGGGCTGCGAGCGCGACGGCTCCTCGGGGGGCGTCGAGGAGGGGGAGGAGGAGGAGGAGGAGGAGGAGGAGGAGGAGGAGGAGGAGGAGGAGGAGGAGGAGGAGGAGGAGGAGGAGGAGGAGGAGGAGCTGGAGGAGGAGGAGCTGGAGGAGGACGTTAACCAGCTTCAGACAATTTCATAAACGTAGATCTCGGAGCTCCGCGCCGACTTCTGGGATCGGCGCTGGTCCCCCCCTGGCGGTGCCGCTGGCGCGCTCCGTCCGCGCGCCAAGGGGGGGGTGGGGGGGGCCCGCGCAGGCCCACGAAAATCCGCGCGACCCCTCCTCCTCCTCCTCCTCCTCCTCCTCCTCCTCCTCCTCCTCCGCGACCCCTCAAGAGTTTCTTTTGGTGCCGGTCTGCCCAGGCCTCCCAGCAGGAGGTTTTCGGATGTTTCTGGATGGCACTGGTTTTTATTTCTGGCTCCGTTAGTGGGCGCGGGCGTCGAGCCCCCCCCCCTCCCCCCCCCAACACCAGATCTTCGCTGTTTCGGGCGACTGTTTCAAAGGGAAGTAAGCACCGGAGGCTGATTGCGACTGTGCATTAGGTTTTGGTGCCTTCCTAGGAAGGTCAAGAAAAGGCATCAGGGTACAGGGTACTTTTCAGAATTTATATCGTATACCGTCCTCCGCAGCGCTTGCGCAATCCTGCACAGCCATTGCGCAGCCCTTGCGCGCAGCACCAGCGAAGCACCTGCCAGGCGTCTCAGCCGCATACTCCTCCCGAGCAAGCCCGATGATCAGATCGACCAAGCATTGGCACATGGTCAGACACTCCCTCTCCCTTTGGCTTCATGTCGAAACTGTGAATAGTAAGATGCTTGCATGTTCCTGGGTATCCTCGACTCACGCCCAGATCCGCCGCAACATTCTGGTCCAAATTGTGTGCGAGTGGTGATTTTAGACACCAGATCCTCGCGTCGTTTTCGGCTGTTTTCGGCCTCTGGGGGCCCTCACCAGGCCCCAGGTCTGTCAGTCAGCGACTCAGAATGAAAAGCTGGCCCTGGGGAAAGGGTAGGGAATTTTGGCGACCCCGTATTAGAGCAACAGGTGCCCGGCAGCCCAGCCATCCTTCGACCTGCGGGCGCCCTTTTTTGGCCCTCGGGTGCGATCGGGAACGGGTCCGGCGCGAGCACCTTCCCCCGGGGAAGAGGTCGGGACTTCTGAGGCCCGCGCAGTCTGTCTGGTCCTGACCCTCCTCTCTGGTCATCGCTCTCCTCCGTCCTCCTCGCACGTACCTCAACCCCCCCTCCTCCTCCTCCTCCTGCTCTTCCTGCTCCTCCTGCTCCTCCTCTGGGTTCTGGACCCCGAGGATCGAGGACCCCGAGGGTCGAGGACTCCGAGGCTCGATGACTCCGCACTTCGGGGACTCCTGGGCCCCGAGGATCGAGGGTTCTGTCTGCAAGTTCGGCCTCGGCGGCTCGTTTCGGGCCTCTGGGGCCGTCGGGCATCGATCTGGGAATCACAGCTAGACTACGTGGGATGGATCATGGGCCCTGGGCCTTTCGGAGGAGCAGCAGCAGCAGCAGGAGGAGAAGGAGGAGGAGGAGGAGGACGACGAGGAGGAGAAGGAGAAGGAGGAGAAGGAGGAGGAGGAGGAGGAGGAGGAGGAGCTGGAGGAGGAGGCGGAGGAGGAGGAGGATAATGATGATGATGATGATGATGATGATGATGATGATGATGATGATGATGATGATGATGATGATGATGATGATGATGATGATGATGATGATGATGATGATGATGATGATGATGATGATGATGATGACGATGATGATGATGATGATGATGATGATGATGATGATGATGATGATGATGATGATGATGATGATGATGATGATGATGATGATGCTGATGATGCTGATGATGCTGCTGCTGCTGCTGCTGATGATGATGATGATGATGATGATGATGATGATGATGATGATGATGATGATGATGGTGATGATGGTGATGATGATGATGATGATGATGATGGTGATGATGATGATGATGATGATGATGATGATGATGATGATGATGATGATGATTGATGATGATGATGATGATGATGATGATGATGATGATGAGGAGGAGGAGGAGGAGGAGGAGGAGGAGGAGGAGGAGAGGAGGGAGGAGCGAGGAGCGAGGAGAAGGAGCAAGGAGCGAGGAGCGAGGAGCGAGGAGCGAGGAGCGAGGAGCGAGGAGGAGGAGCGAGGAGCAAGGAGCGAGAAGCGAGGAGCGAGGAGCGAGGAGCGAGGAGCGAGGATCGAGTAGCGAGGAGGAGGAGGAGGAGGAGGAGTTTTTTCCCAACCATCCTGTGGTGTCGGGTCCTTGTTTTGGAGAGACGGTGTTTCGCGTTCCTCTCCTCTCCTCCCATCCTCCCCCCCTCCTTCCTCCATCCTCATCCTAATACTGATAATACTACTAATCATCATAGTCATCATCATCATCATCATCATCAGCATCATCATCATCACCATCATCTTCATCATCATCAGCATCATCATCAGCATCATCATCAGCATCATCGTCATCATCATCACCATCATCATCACCAGCATCATCATCACCATCATCATCATCATTATTATTATTATCATTATTATTATTGTTGTTCTCATTAATTTTATTATTATTATTATTATAATTACTATTATTATTAGTATTATTATTATTATTTCAGCTGATGCGTCATAGTCGCCCATTTCGGCACACCCCTCGCACGGTTCGTGGCCCCTCACTTCCCGCGCGCCTCCCCATCTTCCGTCTGCGTCAACGCCACCCAGGACAGCGTTTCGTGGCACCGACGGCTCCAGTGGCAGCGGTTGCATGCGTCCCCGCCGCCCAATTCGGCACACCCCTCACACGTTTCGTGGCCCCAGAGGAAGCTCCACCGACGGCCCAAAAGGCCGAGGTTGCATGCGTCCCCGCCACCCAATTCGGCACACCCCTCACACGTTGCGTGGCCCCAGGGGGAGCTCCACCGAAGGCCCAAAAAGGCCGAGGTTGCATGCGTCCCCGCCACCCAAGTTCGGCACACCCCTCACACGTTTCGTGGCCCCAGAGGAAGCTCCACCGACGGCCCAAAAGGCCGAGGTTGCATGCGTCCCCGCCACCCAAGTTCGGCACACCCCTCACACGTTTCGTGGCCCCAGAGGAAGCTCCACCGACGGCCCCAAAAGCCGAGGTTGCATGCGTCCCCACCAGTTCGGCACGCGTCTCGCTCGTTCCGTCGCCCCAGAAGGAGTCCCACCGAAGGCCCAACCAGCAAAGGTTGCATGCGTCCCCGCGCCCAATTCGGCATGCCCCTCACACGTTTCGTGGCCCCAGAGGGAGCTCCACCGACGGCCCAAAAGGCCGAGGTTGCATGCGTCCCCGCCACCCAGGTTCGGCACACCCCTCACACGTTGCGTGGCCCCAGGGGGAGCTCCACCGAAGGCCGTTGCATGCGTCCCCGCCGCCCAACTTCGGCACACCCCTCACACGTTTCGTGGCCCCAGAGGGAGCTCCACCGAAGGCCCCAAGGGCCGAGGTTGCATGAGCCCCCAGTCGACACTCCCCTCGCACGTTTCGTGGCCCCAGGGGGAGCTTCACCGAAGGCCCAAAAAGGCCGAGGTTGCATGCGTCCCCGCCGCCCAAGTCGGCACACCCCTCAGACGTTTCGTGGCCCCGGGGGGAGCTCCACCGAAGGCCCAACAGGCAGAGGTTGCATGCGTCCCCGCCGCCCAATTTCGGCACGTCCCTCATACGTTTCATGGCCCCAGGGGGAGCTCCACCGAAGGCCCAAAAAGGCCGAGATTGCATGCGTCCCCGCCGCCCAATTTCGGCACGCCCATACGTTTCATGGCCCCAGGGGGAGCTCCACCGAAGGCCCAAAAAGGCTGAGGTTGTATGCGTCCCCGCCACCCAATTTCGGCTCACCCCTCGCACGTTTCGTGGCCCCAGAGGGAGCTCCACCGAAGGCCCAAACGGCCGAGATTGCATGCGTCTCCGCCGCCCAAGTCGGCACATCCCTCACACGTTGCGTGGCCCCAGGGGGAGCTCCACCGAAGGCCCCAAAAGCCGAGGTTGCATGCGTCCCCGCCACCCAAGTTCGGCACACCCCTCACACGTTTCGTGGCCCCAGAGGGAGCCCCACCGAAGGCCCACAAGGCCGAGGTTGCGTGCACCCGCGTCACCCACGTCGGCACACCCCTCGCACGTTTCGTGGCCCCAGACGGAGCTCCACCGAAGGCCCAAAAAGGCTGAGGTTGCATGCGTCCCCGCCGCCCAATTTCGGCACGCCCCTCACACGTTGCTTGGCCTCAGAGGGAGCTTCACCGAAGGCCCAACAGGCCGAGGTTCATGCGTCCCCGCCGCCCACTTCGGCACGCCCCTCACACGTTTCGTGGCCCCAGAGGGAGTTCCACCGAAATCGGTACCTACAATGTGGTATTCGCAGTTGCACATGGTTGGGTCCTTCGTCAGGCTCATTTTGAACTTTCGGCATCAGGGGTCCGTTTTCGGGCCAGGGGCCCTCAAGTGCAGGGTGGAGGAGCTGCGCCCAAGAGAGGGGTAAGAACCTTCCTGGGCTCGCAGGACAGTCAGCCTTTGTGTTTGGGCGCTTCATTTGCACGGCGTTTGAGGTGGCTTACTGGCTGCACGCTTGCGTCGCCGAGTGTGTCAGTGTGTCATCGTGCCGAAAAATCCAGGGCCGCGGACTAGACAAATCACACCGTCAGGTGACTTGCGAGTCGGAGTCCTGGGATCCCAGGACTCCGTTGCACTTGTTATGCACTGCTCTCCCTCCTGCGTGCTGCGCGACGACTCCCTTCCCCCGCCCTCCTCGCCCATTCTGCGATTCCTCAGGCCAGGGTGGGCTCGCGCTGGTCCAAAACGCAATTCAAAATTTCGTGAAACAAATGCTTTCTTGGTGCTGGTGTCGGCTTTTTGCTCTCCCATGGGAGGGGAGCATATTTTTTGGGGGGGGGCAGGCAGCACATGCCGCCCGCAGCGAGCACCTGCCTGCGGCGGGATCGTGCCGTGCCGACGCGGCGGCGACCCCAGCGCGGGCCTTCGAGGTTGAACGCCGCCAGTGGCGCGATCGGGAGGCGGCGATCGCTCCAGGCAGGGGTGGCCCAAACGGTGTTTGGGCGATTGCGTGGGCCGTTTTCGTTTCGATTCCGTTCTGCGGCAAAGGCGGGCTGAAGACAGAACGAGGGAGAACGGAAACAGAACGACAACGCAAAACACCGTTTCGGTGCAGCCCTGGCTCGAGGTTGAGCGATGCACGCAGTGTCAGAACAGAGCAGCGCCGAGGGGCCGTCACGACCCGAACCCGCCGCAGCGCCCCTCGGCCCATCCCGCCACCGCGCCCGGGGTCGTGGACAGAGCCGCCCCAGGCCCCGAGGGCAACATGGAACCCGATCGAGGATGGAGCTTGCAGGAGTGGTCTGGGGATTACCCATCGGTCGTTGCAAGTAGGTATTCTTCGATGCCCATACTCTAATCTATTTTAAGCGCCTTCCCACTTCAATGATCGAGTGGCTTCGCCTTGTCCGTCCTCTTTGGGGGGCGGGCGGACATGCAATCTACTCCCAACGTCTTGCTACTTCATGTTTCTACCTACTTCTTCCGACCGATGGGTATCATCTTTGAGAGGATTTCGGGTCCCATGGGGAGGTGGAAGGGTGGTCCTCGTCGCCACAGCCGGGGTTCGCTTCGGAATCCTGGTCCGAAAGCGCGCCTGGGGTAGGCCCGGGGGGTGGTTGCGCGGGTGTTTTTCTCTGCTCCCCCAGGTTCGTGCTCGTCCGGCGCTCCGGCCACGGATGCTGTCTCCTGGACCGAGGCCGAGGAAGGACAAAGCAGCACAGCCGTGAGCTCACGGAGGGCCGCGCAGGTCTCTGGGGTCGAGGTTGGACCCCCCCGTGTCGGGTGTTGCTAGAAGTGCCCCTGGCCCAAGGTGCCCCCAGGATTCTCAGAGTGGCCCAGGCGGCCTCCAGGGCACCCCTCACGAGGCCCAAAGGGCCCCAGGGGCTCCAAAGCGGAGCGAAAAGCTGGGGGCACCCTGGGCCAAGGGCACTTCCGGCAACACCCGACAAGACGCTGACGAGGGGAAGCACCTCCGGGACGAGTATCCTCGACGAGTCATGCCACGCCGCTTGAGGACCCCTGGACTCCAGCACCCATACAGCCGGTAGAGGGGCCAAGGGCACTTCTGGCAACACCCCCCCGGCGGCGGGGGTCCTCGGGCCGCCCCTGGCGCGCGGCGCGCGCCGGAGGAGGGCCGGCTCGGGCGAGGAGGCGGATCGGGCGTCGCCGCCCCCCCCCCCGCCCGACCACCCCGACGCTCACCAGCCTCGAACGTATCCCTATCCTTAAGATGGACACGCCAAGAGGCGATGGCAATCTTAGGGGTTCGCCCTCCCAAAAATAAGGGATCCCTGAGATTGGGGGGGTGCCCAGCATAGGGATAGGGATGTGTTCCAGGCTGGTAAGACGCACCCCGAGGGGCCCCGATGTGCCCTCCGTTTCCGGTGGTGGGGGGGGGGGGTCGGGGAACAGTACGGTGGGGGCGCGCATCAAGAAACCATCTGCTTTTCGTCGTGGTATCCTGGGCTTCTGCGCTCCTCGCGCTGCGCGGTGGCTTCCCGCAGCCGCTGAAGGAGCTGCTGCGTTCACAGGGTGCTCCCGGTTTCCCCTCAGGTGCACCTCGCGCACGGGTTCTCAGGGCTGGGTTTCTTGCGAGGGTTTCTTGCGCCCGCGCCCGCACTGTACACAAAAACACACATGTGAAGCCCGTACCCCCCCCCCAGCCCGAAATTCGGGCGAAATTCGGGTCGTCGGGTTGGGTCGGGGTGGTCTGGTAGGTAGTGAGGGTGGCTCGGACGAGGAGAAGTCCGTTCCAGGGCGTTCTGGACCGCTCTCAGAGCGTCCCGGATCGCTCCGAGAGGGCCGCGGCGCCCAAGACATCCCCCAGCGCCGCCAGATCTCAGAGATTCCCGATTTATCCCCATCCGATTTTACCTATCGGCCGTTGAAAGCGGGTATTTTTTGAGCCCCCCATTCCAAGCTACTTCAAGCGCCTTCCTACTTCAATGATCGAGTGACTTCACCTTTTCCGTGGTCCTTGGGGGCGGGCGGACACCCGATCTACTTTCCATATATTCCTATGTACTTCATGTTTCTACCTACTTCTTCTGACCGATGGGTATCCTCGTCCTGGCTTCGCCTTAAGACGGGGGGTGCGAGCTCTGCTGCGTGCAGATGGTGTCGGCCCCGCCGCCGGGGCGCTCTCCTCGACACGCGGGACGCCTCCGTCGCCAGGGCAGGCGCCGGCGCGGCCTGCGTCGCCCCCCCCCCCCCACACCTTTCTTCCGTTCCTCTGGGCGGGCGTGCCCCGCTACAGGAGGAAGATATCCGAAACTAGTCAAAAATAGTCTGGGGGCGATTTTGCTACTATGTTTGACCACGTTTGAATCTGTCTTGATAGGGCGGCGATATCTATACATATCCACTGCTCCTGGCCAGGCCAATCCTGGGCCCAAGAGCTGTGTATACGCCCTCCTGGCTTGGCCAGGGAGGCATATACACCGCTCCTGGGCCCAGGATGGGCCTGGCCAGGAGCAGTGGATATGTATAGATATCGTCGCCCTACTTGACTGGCTTCAACTTTTCCTCCCAAGATGCGCCTGCAGGGGGGCATGCCCGACCTGGCGCCCCCCCTCCCCCCCTTTCTGCCTCCCCGCTTCGGCCGCCGACCCGGCAAGGGGGGGGGGGGCAGCGCGTCGATCCGAGGGACCCGCGCGGACCTCCGCTTAAGTCGCTGCGCGATAGCCGACCCCGAGCCAAACCTCCCCCTCCTCCTCCTCCTCCTCCTCCTCCTCCTCCTCCTCCTCACTCGTCCTCCTCCTCCTCTTCCTCCTCCTCCTCCTCCCCCTCACTCGTCCTCCTCCTCCTCGTCCTCCTCCTCTTCCTCCTCCTCTTCCTTCGCTGCGGCGATCGCGGCGGGCACGAGTCGGGGCAGCGCCGCTGTCGAGGAGCGGCGCAGCCCCCTTCCCAGCCCCCCGCCCCGCTCTGCGATGCTGGCGTGGCTCGCAAGTAACCGTGCAGCGACAGAGGGTTGCCAGTTGATGTCCAGCATGGGTGGGCATTTGTGGGTCATATAAGTGCACATCATATATTATGTATACGCGTGTATATACATACTGATCTGTTCAATCAGGGGTCGGCTATCACGTAGCTGGCAGCTTTGTCGTCATGCAGCTTGCTGTTGCCCTGCAAGGGGCACGTGCAGGCCATTCACGGGATCTGCTTCAGCGTCCCCGCGGCCCGGGCGGAGCGGTCCCTGTTCGTCTCCACCGCCCCCGACGTGGCGGACACCATGCGCGCCCTGCTGCTCGCGGTCGGCGTGGGCAGGCCCATCCTCGGGGAACGAAGCAGGACAGAAACGTGCGCCTTCGGAGGTCCGCGCGGGTTTCTCGGATCGGCGCTGGAGCCCCCTGGCGGCGCCTCCGGCGCCGCCCCTGGCGCGCTCCGCGCGCCAGGAAGGGGGGCCCGGCGCAGATGGGAGAAGTCCGCGCGGACCTCCCAACTTTTGTGTTTCATGCAGCCTTCTGTTCCCCCTGCCATCCTGCTGAGCGGCGGGGCCGGCGTTGGCAAGACGGCGTTCCTGCAGAGGGCCTCGGAGCTCCTCGGCCAGCCGCAGCCGGTCTTCCTCTACTGCGACGAGCAGACCGACCTCAAGATGCTGTTCGGCACCTACGTCTGCGGCGAGACGGTGGGCGAGTTCGTCTGGAGGCCGGGGATCATCACGGAGGCCCTGAGTCGGGGGCAGTGGCTCGTCCTGGAGGACGTGGATCGGGTCCCGGCGGAGGTTCAGGAGGGAAAAAAACACACACAGACACAACTCATCGCTGATTCCCCAGAAGATGTGGGGAAATGCGGGAAGTGGGGGGGGGGAAGACGAACACCCCCTAAAATATGGGAAACTATGGGGAAGCAGTCTACTCGTGTGCCTCTGTTCGTGTGCCCTGGGGCCCCTCCAGAGGTGCTGGCGGCTCTCTCGCCCCTGGTGGACTCGAGCCACCTCATGAGCCGCCGGGCTGACGACGCGTCCGCCAGACCCCAGGCCGTCCTGCGATCGTCTCGATTGGGGGCGAGAGGTGGGAGGCCCGAGGCGGGCATGGATACACGACCACCGCCTGGAGGATCCATATACGGACCCAAGCATGCTCGCGTCGTAAAAAACTCAGGACGAGAGGATTTTGGCTATTTTCGGCCCCGGGGGGCCCTCGCGGGGCCTCGGGACCGTCAAAAAACGACTCAGGACGAAACACCTGTCCCGGGGAAAGGGTCGGGACTTCCAGTGACGCCGTCCTGGAAAAATCAGGACGTCGCATGTCTGGGGACATACTCGGGCCCCAGCGGGCCAAAACATGTGCACATCCGTCGCCCGCTGGGGCATCGTGGCGCCGGTTGCCAGGCGGTGGATACGGACAGATCCACGCCTCGCAGGAGGGGGAAGCCGGGGGGGCGAAAGCTTCTGGACGCAGCCGGTCTTGGACGGACCCGCCGCCGGACACCTCTCCTGGACATGTCGGCGGTCTTTTCTGGCGCCGGGCGGCGCCGGGAGAGCCAGCTGCGTGAGTTGATTCGCTCCCCCCGTGCTTTAAGTCGGGCATATCCCTCTACAGGAGGAATTTTCAAAAATAGTGAAAACATAGTCTGGGGACGAGTTGGGTTCTTGTTCCCCATATCCACAGGATGCAGTTCTTGTTCCCCATATCCTAAAGATGGGGTTCTTGTTCCCCATATCCTAAGATGGGGTTCTTGTTACTGGCGGACCGCGCCGGAGGAGCACACACAGGAACCCACCTCACCACTCAGGCTCAGTCACAGACTTGCTCTCATCAGTCAGACTCGGCGTCACTCATCGTTACTCAGAACCAGTACTGATCAACTCATCAACTCAGTATTCAGTCATCACTCAGACTCACACATCACTCAGACTCACTCACCACTCAGACCCACTCATCTCTCCATCATACGGTCTAACTCACACTCATCATGCTCACTCGTCACTCAGACCCACTCATCATTCAGGCCTACTCGTGATCTGTCATCATTCAGACTCAGTCATCACTCAGACTTACTCATCCTTATTGGGTCTTATACGCAGATGTTGAGGGTGTCACAGGCGCTTCGCTGGTTTCAGCACTCTTAAGGGGGGCGGCGGGGGGGTATCTCCCTCGCCCCGTTCGCGCCCAGTTTGTGGGGATGTCGCAGGCGGTTTGGCCATTCGGTTGCCCCAACATGTCCGCTTTCGGAGCAGATTTGGGAGGATGTACCAGGCGAATCGCTGGTTTCAGCACTCCCAAGGGGGGCGGCAGGGGGGTATCTCCCTCGCCCCGTTCGCGCCCAGTTTGTGGGGATGTCTCAGGCGGTTTGGCCATTCGGTTGCCCCAACATGTTTTTCTTTCGGAGCAGATTTGGGAGGATGTCTCAGGCGATTCGCTGGTTTCAGCACTCCCAAGGGGGGCGGCAGGGGGGTATCTCCCTCGCCCCGTTCGCGCCCACTTTGTGGGGATGTCTCAGGCGGTTTGACCATTCGGTTGCCCCAACATGTCCCGCTTTCGGAGCTCACGAACAGGAAGGGGAGCAGGAGGAAGAGGAGGAGGACGAGGAGGAGGAGGAGGAGGAGGAGGAGGAGGCTAGCATGAGAACGAGTAGGAGCAGGAGCAGGAAGGGGATGATGATGATGATGATGATGATGATGATGATGATGATGATGATGATGATGATGATGATGATGATGGTGGTGATGATGATGATGATGAGTGATGATGATGATGATGATGAGATGATGATGATGATGATGCTGATGATGATGATGATGATGATGATGAATGATGATGATGATGATGATGATGATGATGATGATGATGATGATGAGGATGATGATGATGATGATGATGATGATGATGATGATGATGATGATGATGATGATGATGATGATGATGTGATGATGATGATGATGATGATGATGATGATGATGATGATGATGATGATGATGATGATGATGATGATGATGATGATGATGATGATGATGAGAGAGCGTGATCCACCGCCGCTTTACTGTGGAAAATTGCCAACCTTTTCCTCCGGAGCCCGGGGGTCGCCCCCCCCCCTTCCGAAAATCTCCCCCCTGCTGGACCCCCCCCCGTCCCCCGGCAACCCCCCCCCCCGCCCTAACCCCTCCCCCCCATCCCCCCTCCTCCTCGAAAACCGGGGGGGGTCACTACCGGTTCGAACCCCTCCCCCCCCCCTCCGGATCCGGAAAACCGGGGGGGGGCACTACCGGTCGAACCCCACCCCCCCCCCCAACTCACCGCCAGCAAACGACTCCCGGTCCCCACCACCGTCCGCATCACATCCCCACTGGTGTTCCCAGCACCACTGTCCTCACCACCGCTGTCCCCACTGGTTCCACCACCGCCCCTACTGTCCCCACCAGTGGCCCCACCACTGTCGCACTGTCCCCGCTGTCCCCAGAACTGTTCCCACCACGGTTCCACTCTCCCCACTGTCTCCACGGCCCCAACCACTGCCCGACTATCCCCACTGTCCCCCCTGTCCCACTGACTCCTCCGCTGTCCCACTGAGCTGTCCCACTGTTCCCACCACTGTCCCCACCACTGTCCCCACTGTACCTCTGTCCCATTGTCCCACCGCCGTCCTCGCCACCGCTTTCACCACTGTCCCCACCACCATTGTACCCTCCACTGTCCCACTGTTTCCACCTCATTCCCATTGTCCCCACACCACTGTCCCCACCACCACCGTTCCCACCACTGTCCACTGTCCCCCCTGTTCCCACCATTGTCCCCACCACTGTCCCCACCACTACCGTCCCCACCGCTGTCCCACTGTCCCACTGTCCCCACCACTGTCCCGCTATCCCCTCACCACTGTCCCCACCACTACCGTCCCCACCACTGTCCCACTGTCCCCCCGCTGTCCCCACCACTGTCCCGCTGTCCCCTCACCACTGTCCCCACCAACACCGTCCCCACCACTGTCCGCATCCCCACTCGGTTTTCGAGGGGGCGGGGGGGAGGGGGGGGTTCGAACCGGTAGTGACCCCCCCCCTCTTTTCATGATGAGCAGGGGGGGGGGGGGGGGGGGGTTCGAACCGTAGTGACCCCCCCGGTTTTCGGAGGGGGGGGGGGGGGGGAGGGTTTCGAACGGTTAGTGACCCCCCCCGGTTTTCCGCCAGCAGGCGGTAGAAACACGCTCTTCGATGATGATGATGATTTGATGATGATGATGATGATGATGATATGATATGATGATGATGATGTGATGATGATGATGCTGATGCTGATAGCGAGCTGATGCTGTGATGATGATGAGGGAAGATGAGGTGAGAGGGATGATGACGATGAGGATGATGGATGCTGATGATGATGATGATGACTGATGTGATGATGATGATTATGCTGATGGCTGATAGCTGATGTTATGCTGATTGCTGATGCTGTGCTGATGCTGATGTGATGATGTGATGTGGTGATGATGAGGATGGATGATGATGATGATTGATGATTGATGATGATGATGATGAGATGATGATGATGATGATGATGATGATGATGATGATGATGATGATGATGATGATGATGATGATGATGATGATGATGATGATGATGATGATGATGATGATGATGATGATGATGATGATGATGATGATGATGATGATTGATGATGATGATGCCCTCGCTCGCTCGGAGGCCTCTGGGGGAGGAGGAGAAGGAGGAGGAGGAGGAGGCAAGGAGGAGGAGTAGGAGGAGGACGAGTGGAGGAAGGAAGAGGAGGAGCAGGAGAGGAGGAGGAGGAGGAGGAGGAGGAGGAGGAGGAGGAGGAGGAGGATGTGGAGGAGCAGGCGGAAGAGGAGGAGGAGGAAGAGGAGGAGCAGAAGGAGGAGGAGAAAGAGGAGGAGCGGGCGGAGGAGGAGCAGGAAAAGGAGGAGCAGGACGAGGAGGAGGAGGAAGACGACGACGACCACGACCACGACCACGACCACGACGACGACGACCACAACGACGGCGACCACGACCGCCTCCCCGGCGGCTGCTGGAAGGAGGCCCCCCCAAGGCCATCGCGAAAACCCTGAAACGTTTCAACAAAACAGAATCATCAACGGTGGAGAGAGCTGTTGCGCTTGCTCGGGAGTGCAAGATCTTGCTCCCGGAGGATGAGTAGCCGCTGTAGTCCAACGTGGCCCGAAGCCAAGTGCGGGCGGTTCAGTGGGGGATGCTCTCATGTTGTTTCTCAGTGTTCATGATATTTCTTGTCGAGCGCATCGCGTGAGCGGGCGCAAGTTGTTCTTTTTGTCTTACAATTCTCCTCCCTCTTAGCTGCGCCCAGTTAACAGTCGCCAGACCTTTTCGGCCTGATGCCCAGTGCGGACGGCCCCGCCCCCTGCACTCTTCTATGTCGGGATGGCCCTGCCGGAAGAGAAGTAGCTGCTGCTGGGACCCAAAGCCAAGTGCGGACGGTCCTGTAAAATATATCCAGATCCGATTGCCCAGTGCCGTGGGTGCAGTTGGCATGTGGCGCCGAGGCAAACAACATGTGCCATTACTCATCATCGTCGTCTTAGTCGTCTGTCGCCAGGTCAGAGCATCGGATGGGAATTGCGGATAGCAGGATGCGGAGGAACGTGCAGCATATAGGGTCATCACAGTCAGTTTTGGGACCAGCCCAGGTTGTCATGGAGCGTTTTTTCGCACTTCCGTTTGCGTTATAGGTAGTCATGTAAGCTCGGATGTCATTGGGCTATGTGATAGTGACCGCGAGAGCGTCCTAACGGACGACAGGCCGTCCCAAAGGACGGCCCCCCTGATTTTTTTTGCCTTCGATTCCAGTGGTAACGGATGCAGAGCGCCCTGCCGCTGTATTCATGCCGTTGTCATTGGTCGTTGCTGCCATGGTGGTTCGAAATTGTTTTCGAGTGCTGGCTTGAATGCGATGTCCGCTTGTGGAAAGGACCGAACGGTCCTTCTTAAGAGCGACGGTACAGCAGTCGATTG